TTAAAATTCTTAACTTACGGTTACTTAACTTAGATCTGTGTTGTAATAATCCCCTTGGTATGGTGAATTATAAACAAATCTTTTGACACTTTGTCTGTGATTGTATATGAAACGGAGTTTCTCTACTGCGCACTATTTGGAGGTGTTAAAAAAATTTAAACACTGTTAGGAAAAAGAAAATAAACAATAAATAATTTAAAACGGCCGTTTCAATGTTGGACGGAATACTTTTTAAATATTTTTGTACCTTTTAACACATTTAAATAATAGTCCAAATTTTTACTGCTGGGTAATCACGAACTTATGACTTGTTATTTTTACAAAGTTCCTCCTTTGCTGTTGCTTGTGTTTTCAAGCGCAATCAAAGCTTAGCTTAAAATCTTCTACCTACCTACGATGATTTTAGTTACTCATGTTTTGTTTTTTTCTCTCTGTTTTTGTTTTTTTGCATTCCATCTAGACCACCATGTAGACGAAGTACGGCATGAGCATGGACGACGGCTTTGGTTTGATGTTTCCGATGAAAATGTGCCTGATAATAATTACTTAATGATGGCCGAGCTGCGAATTTATCAAAATCCAGCACATGGCAAATGGATGACTAGTAACAAAGAGTTTACAATAAGTGTTTATTCCATTGTAAATATGGATGGCCAAAGAGAACTAGAAATATTATCATCGGTAAATACAACTTCTGATTATCAAGGTTGGCTAGAATTGAATGTAACAGAAGGTCTAGCACTATGGCTCAAAAATCAAGAAGAAAACAAAGGTCTTTATATTGGCGCTCATGCAGTGCATAAGCCTGAACGAGAAGTAAAACTTGATGATATTGGTTTAGTACATCCAAAAGGTACAAGTGATGATGAATATCAGCCATTTATGATTGGATTTTTCAGAGGTCCTGAGGTGAGCATATAAAAATCATGCTTTTATTTATATATATTATTTATGTTAAATTTTTTATAGCTTATCAAAACAGCAAAAACACATAGCCGTAAGAAACGTAACACACAACACGTACGCAGAAGAAAAAAATCAGAAATGGTTAATCCACTATTTGAAGGACCGGTGGAGAGTATGCGAAGCTGTCAAATTCAGACATTATATATTGATTTCAAAGATTTAGGCTGGCATGTAAGCTATATAATATTCATATCCATAAAATTCATTTTTCAAATATTTTTATTCCTATATTTTAACAGGACTGGATTATAGCACCTGAGGGTTATGGTGCCTTTTACTGTGCCGGTGAATGCAATTTTCCTTTGAATGCACATATGAATGCTACAAATCATGCTATTGTACAAACTCTAGTGCATCTTATGGAACCGAAAAAAGTACCGAAGCCATGCTGTGCTCCTACTCGCCTAGGTGCACTTCCGGTACTTTACCATCTCAATGAAGAAAATGTTAATTTGAAAAAATACAAAAATATGATAGTGAAAAGTTGCGGGTGCCATTAAAATAATTACAATTGGAACATAACTGACCTCTACAAATGAAGTGTATACTTTCCTGTGAATACTTACATATATACAATTTATTTTTGTATACATATTAATGTGTGAAGTTAATTCTTTCTCATAATTAACTTAATTTAAACTTAAATTAGTATTTAAGTGATTTTTTATACGTGATCCAATATGAATGATATTTTCTTATATTGGGGTATAATTTAAGAGTAATATTATTCAGATTTTATTTTTATTTTATTTTATTATTCCACATTGGATGTCAAAACAAACCTAAAACTTATAGATTGGTTTGTTATAAATAAAAAAAACTTAGAATTATTACTGATATGTATTTAAATATAATTGCTGAAATGTTTTTAATAAGATAAAATAATATATAATAAACAATTCGACTTATAAAATTTGTAAGAGAACGTGGAAACTTATTTTTATTTAAAAGCATTTGTAGTTTTATTATAAAATTAAAGATCCATTTTTATAATGTTTTATATTAAGTTTAAAATAAGTAAATGAAATCGAATTAAAACTAATCATTTTTAAATGATGAAAAGGCAGAAGTGAAAAAATTAAAGCTTATAGCTTAGTTTTTAATTTTTTTTTTTATTATTTGGTTACCAACCAAATAACTATAGCCGACGTTTTGAATTTTGTTTAATCTCTTCCTCAGTGTGGAGTATTATTATAATTCAATATATAATAATACTTCGCCCTAAAGAAGAAATCAAACAAACTTCGAAACGTTCACGATAGTTATATACACTACTATATTATAGTAAAAACAAAAATTATAACTAATCTACAAGCTTTAATTTTTTTTATACTTCGGTTTTTTTTATCAATTAAAACTCCTTTAAGTTAAAGCCTTTATTATAAAAAGTTCTATTCATTATAAAAAATGAAACTATGATTCGAATCATGATATACGCAGGTAATATAAATGTGATCACAATACTAGGTTTATTACAATTAAAATATAAAACTGTAATTCAATAGACCTAATTAGTTTATGTTGGACCTTATTGATTCGTATTTATGTTAGACCTAACTAATTTGTCTATAAAATGCACTTAGGAAGAACAAAAACAAAATTATACGTTTCGCTTATTATAATATATCGAAATAACTCGCTTGACACGTTTGCGATTTATCCTGCAAACCAATTTAACAACGAATTTATGTACAGTTAGCTATTTTAGGCAACCTTTTTCATTCGCTACATGTACGCGTATATAGCTTGCTTCTCTAGATATCGAGGTTTAAATTTGTAGGCTTTTTACTAACTTACTTATTACTAACAAAAAACTACATATGACATCTATTATCAACTAGTATATACAATTTATATATTGATTATACAAACAGCGGGTAATAATAAGGAAATGTAAATAAGAGATTTACATCTAATTGTTATTGGTTCCATACAAAAATATACAATTTTAAATTTCAATATCTTGTTATATTAGTTTATAGTCTAGTAAAAAAAATTACTTAAAATAGTTGACCTTACTCTTCAAAGTGACTTGGTACATCCGCACAAATGACATGCTAAAAGACTTTAGAATAGACCCGGTCAAAAAATACATAAGGGACAGAGCCCTGAAGCTATTCACGAAAACCGACAGGCTACCCTTTTTAGCACTATATAATCTCAGAATAATCTCTAGCCGCACGGGACGATACTCAGGTCTTAGATCAGTCATCGAATAATCACGAAGCTTTTGAAGACTAAATAAATTAGTCAATGAGAAGAGTGAGATTTTGCAGAAACCCCCTAGCCATCAAAGAGTAAAAGTGGCCAGGTGCACTAACTCGACAGAGACTCAAGTTAAATCCTATTTAAAATGGGATTACCAGATAAGTTGAAATAGTGTCACTCGCCTGACCACCTAATTCGAAAACTCATTACCAGTCAATGCCAGCTTGAAAATATTATAGCCGTATTTTATCTTTAAATATTTTTTGTGGCAATTCAATATAAAATCTTCAAATCTTGAATTTAGAGCAAACGACTCTTGATAGTTATTATGTAGAGTTTTAGATTTAAATATTATTTCTTAAGATTTCTAAAATAATAGTTTTAATTTTTAACAATAATAGTATAAGTGTTTACAATACTGTGTAAACCTAACAAAAAATATGAAATCAGTAATCCATCAAATCGATGAGCCCTATTTTGACATAGATAGAATAAACTAGGAGACAAACTAATATAATTAAAATATGGTATTAAGAACTTTAGGGAAAAACTTAAAATTCCCCTTTATAAAACACTCTACTAATCAACACCAGCTACTAGAAATGGAAATCTAGTCCATAGGGAGAAATCTGGGTACATTCAATGTTAACATTTCTGTTAGTGCAATCTGTAAAAGCGCGCTGAATTAATTTATATGAATAACATCTATTTTAGTAAAACATAATTCTATAAATATACATAGTAATATTAAATATTGTAACTATATATATATATATATATTAAGATACAAATTGGTTGTTAGTTCATATAATCTTCAAGTACAAAGTTAGTTGTTAAATGGAGCAAACCTCTTAATGAGATATCTCAGCATTTCAACATACTAACAATTTGACTTTTAGGATATAGAGATATAAACCTGTATTGTAGACGAGTTAACAAAGAAAGGAATTAACTTTCAAGCTTTTCCAAAAAAACAACAATTTGGAAAATACTTTAAACGAAATAGATGAACCGACGAAACCAGGTATAATATGTTCCCACACGAGGATCATCCTGCCAAAATGAAATCTTCCATGTTAAAAGATGAAATATTAATACTAAGAGCTGTCATTACTGTCATTACCTGATACTGCCCTATAAGTCGACACAACTCAAGAATGCATACTATATCCAACAATCACAATTTTTGATATTAAGTAGTTGGTTCAACTATGGTTCATCATTTAATTATAGATCGCACTGCTATCGTGTACTGTCATATTTAATCTGTACATAAGTTTCCAAAGTCGAGGACCACAAGGAACCACCTACTTAAAGATATTACAAAAAACAATATATTAATTAGGTACTTTGCAGCATTAACATTAATAGATTTTTATGTTATTTAAATATTATAATTATTTATTAAGCTTTAGTCGATGTTTTAATTTT